AGACAGACAGACAAACGACAGTCACAAATATATATATAGATAGAATACAGAGTAACACGGTAGTGGATCCATCTCAATTACAGTGACGGCGCCAAAGGATACGGTGCACATCACCCATCCGACGTAAATGTTTAAAAATACATAGTGTAACACGGCAATCCAGTGTAGAACATGTACACCATTGATTGATAGCTTGATAACGTTGAGAGAATACTCTTCGAAACGTCGCCCAATAAATTAAGTAGGTGTTTTTCCACAAGTATGTGTTTTTGTGTATTGCTCTATCCAGTTACTAAATGCCTCTGAAAGATTACACCATTGACATGTGCCCCTCTCCATTACAGTGACGGTGCCGAGGGGTTCCGACAGATTTCATAACACAATGAACTCACTTTTTTATCATAGTTATTGGCAAGCCCAATAGCCAATTTGCCCTCTTTATGATCGATTTACTTTAATATTTCTTTTAATTGAGTTCTTTATCCAGTACATACTCTAAAATCAAATATTTCACCGAGAATTTTTTTAAATTTTTCACACCCACTCGATACGCTGACCTTAGGGAATAATTACCGTGTCAATAATTTAATTTTTGTGAGATGCTGTGTAGAAGCATGTTTATTACAGAATTTCGTCCGAATCCCATATAACAAAAAAAAAATATCCTAACTCTGGAATACCGTGCCACCATCTTCTATTACGAGCAGACGTTACGCTGCTGGAATAACTGTTTTAATAAGTACATGTAATTCAATCCGTTTGGTTTCTACTCAAGAATGTTAAAAATGTGTCTTGTGCACGCGCGTGTTTTTTTAGCGTAGTTTTACTATGACGTTTAGTGCAAATATATATGTTATTATTTAAGATCTTTATAGGTATAGAGATAAAGAAACTAGCGTGTTTTTATTTAATTTATTTTAAATGCTTTCTATGATAAGATGGTCTAGAACGTATCTTCTGCTTCCTGGTCATGTAAATATATTATATTATTTGTCTATCTCTTTACTCGTCTAAGATAAAAATAGGATAAACTATTTTATTTATGTTTAATCGCTGATGAAAAAAAATGTCTTAAAGAAACGAATTAATAAATACGTGTGTGGTTTCAAATAAAGTCGTTAAGTGGTAATCAACAACAAAACGGGCATTGAACAAAGGGCAAACGCGTAGTTTCGATTCCAGGCTTGCAGAGTTTCTTGCCTATTAATATGGGTTTCCCCCATCTGCTATGTTCTATATTGTTTTTTTAAAAACAGTTTGTATGAATGGAGTACTAGATAAGAATGTATTCAATCTCATTAAAATACAGATCCTATTTCGTTTCGTTTTTATAGTTCAAAATTTCGTTTCACTTGACTTAAATACACTAGTAGTGTAGGCCATCGAAAATATACGAAACGAAACGAAATATAGATCTGTATTTTAACTAGATAAGAATGTATTGAAAATAGTAATATTCCCAATAGCTAGATTATATTAATTCAATATTACTAGTACAGTTGTCTAATTATATTAACGTAAAACACAACACCTATAGCGAGGATTGTGGTATTTGGCTCAGTAAAATTTGTAACCAAAGAGTTTCTGGTACGAGAGTCGAATGGGGCGTTGGGTCGTTCAGAGTCATAGTCTTCGTAACAGCATTATTGGCCCCCGGACAAAGCAGAACCCCTGAAACCTATACAACCCAAAATAAAAATGGCCGATAAAATTAACCATATTTATTGGTACTTCCAACAAAGTCATAACCTACATTGATTAGCATCATGTCTGCAGTCCCTTTTCATTGGACGCTATACGAATCCAACGACCAACATTGGTTGGGCTGTCCGCTTGCACCTCCCCCCCCCCCCCCACACTAGCTACGGGCCTGCTCACTATCATATCTGTTACAACGACCCGTTAAATCGTGTGTTCGTTTATAATAATATTCTTGTATCGGGTTTTTTATTCAGTTTTATCTAGCTTAACATAAAACAGTACTTTTATTTTATTACCTATCATATACAAGATATGCAAGTATTTTCAGAGAAAACATCGCTTGCCAATTTTTAAAAAAAGTAAGATAATAATATCACTCGTGCTTCCTGGTGGGTATTAACTTTTATTTAGCAGTAAATTCTTGTACATGTACATGTTCTTCAGAAAGGGTTACACAATAACTCGGTATTATAAATGAACTGGGCTTCCATTTGTCTCCACCCACCTGGTTTCGAATCCCCGGTTGTATGTGACAAGGAGTAGGGTCGCCTGTCCAACCTCGTGGGTTTTCACCGGGTCCTCCGGTTTCCTCCCACTGCTAAAGACCCCTACGCGCAAGCGAATTATTGAAATAAAATTAAACCCTATGTTAGTCCCGAAATGACCTAGTTTGTGTTTAGTGGGCGTTAAACACCATTTCTCTATCTCTCTCTCTCTCTCCACCAACCATCCTCGTGAAGATGGGTATACACGATGTAATGTGTTCCATGTTGTGTTGCAGCGTGCATGACAAGAACAGCTGTCTAGTCGTTCGGATGGGACGAACAATCGAGGTCCCGTGTACACATTGGCGTGCACGTAAAGATCCCTTGACAGTTGGAATTCGATATAAGAGTAGGCCGTAGTGCCGCTGTCCGGGCAAAATTTCCCTCATAGCACACTGTATGGCGTATGCCCGTCTTCATTAACTCAGTTCGGAGCAGAACAGTAGAACGTTAAACCCCATTTATTTCATTCCATTTGTGTTGCAGCGTACTATTCATCGAATTCCCACTGTCATTGGTTGTGTTACGTGAACGTTATATTCACTCCGCCATCGTGGCTCGTAACTGGGTATGGATTTTTTCTGATTTGAATGATCTCTGAACTACGTAACCAAGAAGAACCACGAACTAGAAATGATTATTTTGTTGAAATATGAGAAGCAAGCAATCTATAAAATGTTTGATTACATCTATCGTGTATGGCTTGTCTGATGTGGTCAGATTATTGATTGGGTACTTGCTTCCATCTGCGTGGGACGTTGGTGGGGAGAGACAGAAACACTATCAATACATTTGAAAATTCAATCGAAATACCGAGTAAATTAGGGTACATTGAGTACCGATTTGTTTGAGCCTACTATTTGTCATCTGATTTGAATATTCAATATTCTTGATGATCGATTTGATCTGATTTATCAGATACGTATTTTATGGTGATGCATATGGCTGGAGACGATAATTAACTCTCTAGGCTGTTGAATTTGGTGCCAGTAGTTTTATTAATATTGGTTGATATAATTAAGGTTTTTTTGTTCATTAATGTCATGGTGTTCTAGAAACAAGGTTATTGGTAATGAATGTAACATATGTAACATTCATGTCAACTCCTACGGAAAACTCTTCCCGTGCCAAAGTTGGATTTGTTATGTAATTAGGAAATTGGCTGGAATATTCCAGAACATGTGGGCTCATTAACTGTATTTGTGACACGGTGGAACCCAATCAGATGTATTGAAATAAATTATTATAGCAATATCTAAATTAGCAAAATGGAAAAAAGCTTGCTCAATCTTTTCGTTTTCTTTTTTTTTTGCCAACCAATATGGATGGTGATTTTTATACGCCCATATTGAAATATAACCATATATTGTCGTCGACCCCGTCCGTCCGTCGGTCCAGCGTCCACAATTGCTTGTTTCAACATTTAAATTCGATCTAGTAGTAAAATATAGCATCTCAGAAATTCCCACAGCAAAACACCAGTCGTCTCGATCTTCTAAATACTGTCGAGTCTATGCATTATTCATATCGGCCCACAGTGGCTCAATCTGAAAGACACTGGCTTAATAAGCAGCTTCCAGCGTGGTTAGCCCTTGTTTTGGTGGCATGAAAAACCGAGAACCAGTGTTCACGTTTGCGGACATGTAAACGACCCCTTTTCAGTTAGAATTCGATGAAGAACAGGCGGTAACGCCCTGTCCGGGCACAATTTCCCTCATATTACTCTGCACGGCGTATGTGGCGCAGAACGATGGGACGCTAAACGCCTTTGCATTTCGATTGATTCAAAGCAGAGATGACAGATTGCTGTACTAAAACATGATTTGTATAACCCTGAGTCAGCATATTGAGTCATAGAAGCTGCAATATTGGCTGCATCATTGGTCGATCAATTTAATGCCGACTTCTGCTACATTAGATAAAGGAGATTTACCGCGAATATTCTTTATTTTCGAGCAGTATTCGTCAAAATTAAATTGATTACATGATTGAAGAAGCTGCGAGCGAAATTAGTTTGATCGGAGGTTTTAAAGATCTTCTTTGCAATTCATGATGAATCTGAATAAACTCGGTGTTTGCCTAATGACTCTAAGCAGTAGTTAACTGCTGTCCATTCACTGGATAATTAAAACATTTTTGTAGTAAACGTGACGAATGAAAAACATTACCCTTTAATAATTGAATGATTGTTTTTATGAATTTGTTTTTTATGCCACGCTTGTAAAAACAAGAGTTTCAACAGTGAGGGTTTCCACTAGAATTATTGTTCTTATTTCTTTCATGTACTCAGATATTCAGAGGCAACACTTAGAAAACATGCAACCTGCAAAATATATTAGAACGAAGCGTAAATCTAGTGTATCAAAATGCTAGGCACATCTGGACTGCTCTTCGGGAGGTTTTCTTTAGGAGATGGGTGTTGTCTTGTAGAGTCGTGGGTGTGGTGGGATATGGTGGTCAGCTGGTTCGGGCACATCTGGGCTCTTACGTCGGACTTTGTCTTGTGGACCGGGGTGTTACCTAGTGGGAGCTCGTCTGATTTTACGGTCTTATAGATTTTTTCCGCTTGACGTTTTTAAGTGTCTGTGCCGTATCGATGTACTACTGTTCGCAACGTATGGTTTATGAGAGATACAAACGTTGGAGAGAACTCAGTCAGCTATGTGAAATTCAATTAATCGTTCCTAGTGCATGATACCCGTCACTTACAGTTAGATGAACTGAATCGTAATCATGATATTTTTTATTTTTCAGGTTTTGTTCCAGGGCTGTGCCATTCCACTGAACTTACTACTGGACAGGATTTTGTCGTCTTTCTAAGTACGGAACTTACTCCTATCTATAAGGAAGACGTACCTAGCGAACAGTATTTAGAAGAAATTTCAATTTTATGTGAACATGATATTAACTATCCACAAGGTTTGTAAACCCTCTTATTTATATATCTCTATGATATACCCTCTGATATATATTTATTCATGGCGAAGCCTCTGATTTATTTATCTCCACGATAAACCCTATGATTTATATATCTCCACGATAAACCCTATGATTTATATATCTCAACGATATACCCTATGATTTATATATCTCCATGATATACCCTATGATTTATATAACTCCATAAGAAACTCTGTGATTTATATATCTCCACAATAAACCCTATGATTTATATTCTATATCTCCATGATAAACCCTATGATGTATATATCGTCATGATAAACCCTATGATTTATATATCGCCATGATACACACTATGATTTATATTATATATCTCCATGATAAACCCTATGATGTATATATCGTCATGATAAACCCTATGATTTATATATCGCCATGATGCACACTATGATTTATTTATCTTCATGATAAACCCTATGATTTATATTATATCTTCATGATAAACTCTCTGTGTGTGTGAAATAGCTTTACTTAACGTCTGTTTCCACTGATGTGATTTCGCAGACAAAGACAAGAGATTAAGGCTACAGAGGTTAAATAGACACTATGTTGTGCTAATGAGGGCTACCTGGTCGGGATAGAGCTTGGTTAGAAAAAAAAAACCAATGACCGAACGTCGGTGGTCGTAACGTCGTCCACGGCCCTAGTAACACCATGCTCACGCTGACTGGTTTGGCAAGACTTGCCCAGACGTCATGCAGGACCCACACAATACCACAACCCACGCAGAAGGGTTTGACAAGACAAATGTTGTGTGGTAGTTCAGATATAACACAAAAACACGTCCACCCGTGTACGATTTGGGTACATGTACAGAGAACTCCTGGCACTAGGAACTTGAAGAATGAAATGAAATCGGGTTTAACGTCCTATTGTTCTGCTCCGACTTGGCTAATGAAGACGGGCATACGTCATACAGTGTGCTATGAGGGACATTTTGCCCGGACAGCGGCATTACGGTCTACTCTTGTATCGAATTCCAACTGACAGGGGATCTTTTATGTGCACTCTAATGTGTACACGTGACCTGGGTTCTTCGTCCCATCCGAACGACTAGACAGCTGTTCTTGTCAGGTCCTGCACCACCGACAAGGGGAAACCACGTCGGAAAATCACGGCCAACACCGGGAGCGAATCGGCGACCTGAAGACTAGCCACCTTGGCCAACATGCGAGCCAACGTATTACTCACCTAGCCACCGTGGCTCCCGGAACTCAAAGATGGGTAGACAGAAACGCAGCTGCCGGGAAAGTTTAAGCATATTGTAGTCTCAGAATAACCAATGTATTGTTCCAACGAGACGTTAAACTCTATACCGCTATTCCGTTTCATTACATCCACCTGAATTAAAGGTCAATTTTGGTGCCAGTCATTATCACATATGTGATAGAACTGGTTAAACACATTCCAAATATTATTTTATCACAGTGATCATTGCTACGATAGATGCGTAATCAATATTTCAGCAATCGGAAGTGACGAACGCAAAAGGAAAACACGAGTTATCCCTCTATATAACTGACTGAAGTGACGGGTGATAACAAATACATGGGCGAATTTCTGCTCACTAATAATTCCTTCGAAGACCAAAAGTTGTTGTGTGAGACTGTGAAAGGATATCTGACAATTCATAAAAAAAATTGACTGTCACTAGATGGGTGAACATGAAAGAAATATAGAAAAAGTCCGTGCATTACCATGTTTTTATAAGTGATCTCTGAGATAAAATAATATTTGGAACGTGTTTAACCAATTTTATCACATATGTGATAATGACTGGCACCAATATTGTCCTTTAAATTATTTGGTTTGGAGAACTATCCTGAACAATATTAATCTCTGTGTGTGGGTATTGAAATCGGGGGAAGTAACCCGCGAATTGATCATGGGCTATCACCAATGATCTGACAGTGTTATATTTATATTGTATAGGTTTAGACGAATCAACAGCTCCTATGATGTGTCCTGCTAACTACCCAGAATACACAGATTGCATCCGATATGTCGAACCAGAAGAAGAAAGTGAACCTGAAGTGAAACCAATAGATAAGAATACACCAATAGGTAAGATGATATTTATTGTATACACCAACAGGTATATGTTGTCGTATATTGTCGTCACCGGGGGGCCGGATGGCCGAATGGTTAACACGTGCGCGCTGAGTCATACGGTCTGTCATTGAGTCAACTGGCGGGGTTTCGATTCCCCGGTTGTAAGTGACAACGAGTAGGGTAGCCTCCGGTTTCCTCCCGCTGCTAAAGACCCCTACACACAAGCGAATTATTGAAATAAACTTGAACTTACTCTCTCTCTCTCTCTCTCTCTCTCGTCATCGATGTCGTCATATCGTTCGCAATACCTTGCAGACGCCCAAGCGGTAGTAGTTGACGTCAGATTGACATAAAGATCTATATTTCGTTTCTTTTTTTATACTTTCGATGGCTTACACTACAGAAGATCTGACAAGTTGTACTGATAGGTCGTGTCAGGGGTCTTACGGGCGGTTTTGACCCTATGACGTCAGCGTTGACGTTCCTAGTGGTTTACCCAAAGTTCCGTGCATGGCAAGCCAAGAAGTCGCCGTAACATACCGTTTCATTGGCTTATCCCTCACTTCAGCCAACCCTTCGGTAATATAAAAACTCTTCCAGATCCTAGTGCAGTAAAGACAAGTAAATCGAAATTTTGAACTATAAAAAAACGAAACGAAATACTTTAATAGGATCTGAATTCTCGGACTAGATTTGGTCCTAAATTCTAAATTGAACAATATTAGGGTCGGGCTAAGGGTTGTGTATATTTTCACAAAAATATAAAACATGTATGTACGTCCCGATTTGCAATGATCTACAGTTCCCAACGTAGGTAATCCAGAACAGTTACGCATGCCCAGTTATGTAGTACTCTATTGAAACTAAACACTTTCAAAACTTTGTTATTGGGCACCTGTCTAGTTGGGTGGTTAAACCTTAGTCAGATCTATATATCTCATCGTTACCCCCACACCCTCAATCAAAATAAATATTATATGTTTAATCAACTGGTTATATATCTATTAATAGAAACAACAGCAATACCTGTAATCACCAGGTGGCACTGTCTGTATTTGTAGTCGCCATTTCGACTAGCAAGCTAACATTACAACCAGTGGAATATTCGCCGTTATTTTGCAACATTAACACACAATAGTTACTATTCACAGTTACGGCGAATATTCGACGTTATTTTACGATATCAATGCTTAACATTTACTACTTTATTGCCAATCTGATTAAAACACAGGTCTATATTTCGTTTCTCTTTTTTATACATTCGATGAAGATCTGACCAGTTGTAGTGGGGTCACGTCAGGAGTCATACGAGCGGCTTTTGGCCCTATGACGCCAGACATTTGATTAACCAATCAGCGTTGATGTTTCTAGTAGGATACCCACAGTTCCGTGCATCGTACGCCAAGAACTCGCTGCAACATACCGTTTCATTGGCTAATCCATCAAGTTAACCAGAACGCGGGTTATATAACACCTCTTCCAGATCCTAGTGTAGCAGGGACAAGTAAAACGAAATTTTGAACTATAAAAAACGAAACGAAATAGGATCTGTGTTTTAATCAGATTGTATTTAGTGTTAATAGTGAATATGCGCGCTTATTTTACGAAATTGGTGAACAATAGTTACTATTTATAGTTAGCGAGGTAATATTCGTAGTTATTTTACAATTAGCTAGTTAATGATAAGTGACAGATTTATAGCCAATGACCTAGGTCCTCCCACTCCTTATCTTCTTTCTTCAGGGGCTCACTAAAACAAGCAGGTCCAGGGTTTGATGACAGTGTTGGTCAAGAAAGTACCCCGGGGATTTACCACCATGATTTTACCCTTGTCAGTGGTGCAGGAAGGGGGGTCTGGCAAAGAATAGTTTCCAGTCGTTATGATGATATAAAAAGAAAACCTAGGTTCCGTGACGGTTAGAAAGCAAAATAATCGTAGGGCAGAGCGCGGCGGAATATTCAAACGTATCTTCATAGCACACTGCATGGTGTATGTCCGTCATTATCCCAGTCGGAGCAGAAAAGTAGGGTATTAACCTCCATTTCATATCATTTACGTTCTGTATATTTTTATTCAAATAATCACAAAGCCTTTGTTTTTTATGCAGTTGAAGCAACGAAACCGGGTGAAGTGTCTGGAGACGGTGGAAAGGAGATAAATGATGGCGGTAATGGCGGAAGTGACGTAATTAATGTATCTTGTATGTTAACGTATATTTGTGTATTTGTGTCGCTATGGTTATAGGTTAGTTGATAATATAGTATTTTACAATTCGCATAATGAATGTTGAACGTGATCTATTAAACATGCATTCCTCATTAATTTAAAAAATATTCTTTCATTACCCAGTTAACAAATCTACGTTTTCGCTACGAATTGTAATGGCGGTAAATAAAATTGTCTAGCCGAACTTCAGGAGAGGAAATCGCTATATCTTTATATTATAGCAATGCTATATCAAGTAAGAATACATTAGCCATTTTTGTTAAAATTATCAACGACTTTTAGATTTAGCTGTATGATAATGGCATACGGTACAAAATGTCAAAATATTTCATTACTATTTAACATTTATGCCCGATATTTCGATCCGCACAACCAATACTAAGACCGGTTGTATTAATGTACCAATACTCAACCAGTTGGTCGAGAATGGAGCTTAGATTGATATGAGGTTTGTCGTAACTAAGTGACTAACACTTTCAAACCATATTGGAATTTATATAGTTACTTGTTCTACGTAACCACAATCAATCATTTGATATGGGTGCCAACTTATACGAGATTAGTAAGGGGGATAACCACATTTATTACAAGTTTGTCTTTGTTTTTAAGATATTCCCCAGTTACTCTTGATGCAGCCTTAAAGAATATATTGATTTAAATATTGAAATGGTTATATCAGTTCAAGGGAGACAACTGCAAATAAATCGTTAAGAGATTTTTGTTTTCGCGAAAGTACACTACTGAGTGTACAGAAATTTTATTTGCCTTGATCATTGATTAAGACTGTGGATCAAATTATGTTTCATCTACGATTATGTCATTGAACATACGTAAATTCAGTGTATTTTATTGTAGAATATTGGACTAAAATATGGATACTTGGGTGATTACAAGAAACTATAACTTAATTATGGAAGCTTAATTATAACTTTTACATTTTTTTTCCATGAAAACCAAAAGGTTTAAATTTTGACCTTTTGTCTTCAGAAACATGAATCAAATGAGACATATGATAGGAATGAGACATATGATAGGGATGAGTCAAATTCAGACTATATTTCGTTTCGCTTTTGTGGTTAAAGTCATCGTTTAAAATTCAAGAAACTGGAACGAAATAGGTTCTAAATTTATCATTGTGAAATGTGCTTACTTCTATGTCCGATTTTCTCGCTGGAATTTTCTGATTAATCAGTGTTTAAAATCATGTTTGCACTCAACTCGCTTTATTGTGCAGGTACAATTTTAAATATCAATTGTGCTATGAACTTCCAACAAGAAATTGTTTAAAGCGGGGTTCGAATCGTGCGTTTTCTGTAATTACGAGGTTCCAAATTAAAAATAACGCCCCAAATCACAAAGTCATATTTCCTACTTCACCAGTAAAACATATGACATGTCACGTGATTCGAGTGGTATTTTCGTGAAGGGAATTTGTAATTACGGTACATACGACATGATTCGAACCCAGCAAAGATTGGCTGATGTAAATCTAATGTTAATTGTGTTTTTGTATAATGTGTAATGTTTATTATAACTGTGTGTTGTCTTTTTGTTTGGCCAGATTATTATTTATTTTTGAGTACTATATTTGGTACATTATATGTTATGTATATACGGTTCTTTTAGTGTGTATAAAGTAAATAATTATAGCTTTTTAGTAGCAAGCTTTTTTATTGTTGAACTGTAGGCTTCTTAGATACTGAGTGGCGCAGCACCCAAAGTTGACGATAATAGTTGTCACGCCTAGCGGGTTAAATATTACATGGACGTAGGATCCGGTTTATTGAGAGAGATTTAACATACGGATGTAGTTAAATCAATATTTAGCTCTATGATCATAACCTGCTCTAGCTAAATTAAGCACACCCTGCCTATTGCATGAACTACCGTACTCACCATTCGATAATTCTGACTATCCGGTAAACAGGCAGATAATACCGATTCCAAGGCGCCTATAAATCGTCATAACGTTTCTGCACAATATAGTTAAATGTAGGCAGGGTAAATCGTCAACCCGAAGGGCACAGGATATTGTTTGAATGCCTCTTGCGAGATGTGAAATTATACTTTAGTTCTTCATAATAAACAACGTTAAATACATAAGTGCGTTAAATCTCTCCCGATTGTAAAAGTATTATATATTTATTCGCTTTAATTCGTGTATATCATCAACCATGTTTCTGTTGGTTTACCTATTCTTTTTTATATTATAATATCATTAATTAAAATATATACAAATACATGTGTATCTTATAACATCATGAATATACAATTTTCTATAGTTCATAGTATTATCATATCTCTTAGCAATAACTGCAATATTTTTGTTGATAATTAATTGCCATTTTTTAAAATGTTTTAACAACATTAATGATTAATTGACACTGTCTAGTTCGCTCTACATCATTTATCATTTAAAAACTCTCAAATTTCATGTTTAAGATTGTTTCTATCAAATTTTTTCAATCAAATTTTGTTTTTGGTGCTAGCAATAAGCGACCGAATTTTGATTAACATTTAGATTGATCACCACCTCTTCGGCATTTTGCCATTTGAATAATACTGGCAATAATTTCATGTCTTTCAGATAATACCTTTGATATTATTATAGACAATTAGATTTCTTTAATGTAATTAATTCAACAATGTAGTAATGTGTGTGTTGCTCTAATTTATACCACTCTGTTAAGTATACGCACTCTTACTGTCAAATATTTCGCTTGTCGTATGCCAAGTACTTATATATAAACGCATATTTGTGAATAAATTCATGGATTTCTAAATGTTTGAGTTTGGGTTGTGGTGTATTCCATATTCCTTGTTTAGGGGTGACTGTTAATTGTATTTGAACTTATTGTGATTGAACATTAATCGGCATTAGACACGTCATGAGGCATCATCGGCCCACGTAATATTCATGACACACTATCAGCTCCGCGTTATATCATGGCACACCAACAGCCCCGCGTTATATCATGCCACACTATCCGATAAGTTCATGACACGTTATCAGCTCCGCGTTATATCATCAACAGCCCCTTGTTATATCATGACGCACCATCAGTCCCATGTTATATCAGTGACATGTCCTCAGATCTGTGTTATATCATGACACCATAGCTCCCGCGTTATATCATGACACGCCATCAGCCCCTTGTTATGTCATGAGACACCATCAGCCCCGTATTTTATCATGACACATCGCCAGGCCCTTGTTATAACATAGCACACCTTCAGCCCCATGTTTTATCATGACACACCATGGCTTCATGTTATGTCATGATACACAATCAGCCCCGTGTTACATCACGACACTTGTTTTACCTTATATAGAGCCGTGAATACCAGCCTGGATTATCAAATGGTAAAACCCGCGGGGTGGCTGCTTGGATACATAACATAACCTTTTAACCTTTTACCTATTCCGAAATACTCTACTTTCTGTGTGCACATCTGAAATCTGTATTTGAGATTCCTGATATACTCTTTGGCGGATGCGAGAGACCACCAGATATTTTCCCATTGACTTTGCTCTTTATCCGGGTCTAACTTTTCTCCAAATTTCCACCACAGCCATAATTAACAGAACTACCTAAGTGTTGGATATTAAGTTTTACAAAAGCCCGATGATGATAGATAGCACCGTTCAAACCCAATTTAATTCAAGATACATGTTAAAGATATGTGCACATGTAAACCAAACATGCTGTGGTATTCGAAACGGAACTTGGATAGAACGTCTCTGGTCTAGTGTGGTTATTTCTCAACATAAATATCTTAAACATTTCCAACGGACCGGGTGATTTCTACGAATTGAAAGTGTTAACACCGAACGTTTAGAGGACCTATTTTGAGAAATTAAGAATTGTGGAACAGGTAATCAGTCTAGTCGTGATAGTCTTCCAAATGAAAGAGGGTTGAACGACGTACTGTTCTGTTCCAACTGGGATAATAAAGACGGGCATACCCGCCAGTGTGCGATGAGGGAAATTATGCCCGGACAGCGGCACTACGGCCTTCTCTGATATCAAATTTCAACTGTCAAGGGGTATTTTACGTGCACACCAATGTCTACACGGGATCTCGGTTTTCAATCCCTTGCCAGGCCCTCTGTCCTGCAACACTGACAAGGGTAAACCACGCAGGACGATCCCGATCAACTTTCACGGTCGACGCAGGGATCGAACACCGGACATCCGGGTTAGCGAGCCAACGTCTTGCTCACTGCAATATCAAATATACTTCAACATAGCTTACATCCTGGATGATAAGATACTTGGGATGCAGGCTTAATGATGTTAAGATTATGTCCGATAACTAAAACTAATTCTACTTTTTCATTCAGTGTATTCGATTGATCACAAAGTGTGTTCCATTACAACCTGTCATAACGGAATATGCCCTGTAAAGATATATATTTTCTGATCAAGATGAAGCGGACTAAAGTGCGGATAAAACTAAAACAGGGGGTATTGACAACATGGCCGAACTAGTTAACAGTTGCCTTATGTTCTCAGTATGTGATCCAATAACGAATCTGGCTGAAGTGATCTTTACAAATGATAGGAAACGGTGTTGTATAGATAAAACCGACGAGGTTAGCAAGACAACATTTTTCACGCCCCCCTCCCCCACCACACACACACACACTCCCACCGCTCTTGGGCTAATGAAGACGGGTATACGCCATACAGTGTGCTATGAGGAAAATTTTGCCCGGGCAGCTGCGTACTTTTATATCGAATTCCAACTGTCAAGGGATATTTTACGTGCACGCCAATGAGTACAAGGGACCTCGGCTAAGCACAATGACGTTTATATCAATATAAAACAAAGAGACGATTGTGTCATAATTTCAATTAAAAGAAACATAAATAGGGTATAAATGTAAAGCTTTTATTTCATTTTTGCTCAAAGCTACAGGTGAGTCCTTGGCACGATAGTCCGCAGTCCTTTAATTCAATCTCGAACTTTCGTAATATATCAATGTATTCTGGATACTGAACGATGAAATTCTAGTGTTTACACTAAACAATCTAACCAACCATTGAACTGCTGCTCCCACCCCCATAACCCCCGCCATACCCTCCAGTGCCATATCCACCCATCATTCCACCATACCCTCCAGTGCCATATCCACCCATCATTCCACCATACCCTCCAGTGCCATATCCACCCATCATTCCACCATAACCTCCAGTACCATATCCACCCATCATTCCACCACCATAACCTCCAGTGCCATATCCACCCATCATTCCACCATAACCTCCAGTGCCATATCCGCCCATCATTCCACCATAACCACTGGTGCCATATCCACTATACATAGGCACCATAGCACCGTAACCGCCCATCATGCCACTATACCCAGACATACTGCTACCATACCCAGTAGGATATCCGGTCATAATGGTGCCACCACCATAGCCACTGCTACTACCTCCTCCATAACCCCCTTGGTTTCCACCAGCGTACATTCCGCCACCATTATATCCCTGGCCGCTACTCCCTCCACCGTATCCCTGCTGGTGCCTACTGCCATAATCTACTATATACCCCCTGCCTCCACTACGGCCACCACTCGACCGTTTTACTCGTTTTACTGCTTCTTCAGCTCTAATAAGACAGCTGGCTGAAAAATAGAAAATAAACCTTCAGGGTCAGGAGCATGGCACATATGCAGAAAAAGTCATGATATAAAGATTTAAATCTATCGTCTAACAAGAATGAGTTCCGTGAGTTTGGTCCAAATAAAGGGTTGCATTGTGTTTTGTCGTGTTGGAAGTAATGGGAAAAGTTCTGTAGTAAACTGCTGGCAGTTACATGTATCAGACTGGCGTAATCTAGTAGCACATGTCACGGGCCCTGCATTTCCCTAAATGCCTGCAAGCTGGCCATCCCGATTCGGTGATTCTGCACTACATGTATTATACTATTCAAAAAAGTAGGGGATATTTGATTTTGGGGGCATAATACTAAAAAATGCAAATGACTACGAAAAAAGTCACTATAGAACCTAACAGAAGAAACATTTCCAGTTACATGTGACGCCCAAACGCACCAATAGCTACCGCATGGAATGCAGGTGATGCTTGGGATCATCACGGGGGTCCAACCCAAGATTTGCACGACTCTGACTTTGAATGTTACAGTCATTGTGGCATTGAATTCCAGGGTGGAAACATCAGTTTAATTGTTTTAGTGACCAGAAAACAAATTTTGATATGCGTCGGCTTACCCAAAATGAAAGGTTACGTGCCCTTGGCATGCTACAGATCGGCACAACACAGGCGGTTGTGGCGCGGACGATGAATGTTTCTCAGTCTGTGATAATCAGGCTATGGTCCAGATACCGTGATACACAATCTGTACAGGACAGACCACGCTCAGGTCGACCAAGGGCGACAACTCAAGCCCAGGATCGATTTATCCGTACCTTGGCCTTGAGAAATCGTGTCATCACAGCAAATCAGATCAGCGCTCGTCTTCAAACAGACACTGGTGTGAGAGTGAGTGGCCAGACGATTCGGAATCGACTGCATAGGGGTCACCTTAGCGCCCGACGTCCTCGCGTGATCCCTTGTTTGAGAGATCATCACATTCAGGCAAGACGTCGTTGGTCTAGGGATCGTCAACACTGGGATAATCGACGCTGGAGCAATGTGATGTTTTCAGATGAGTCAAGGTTCACTGTTGATTTTTTGGACAGACGTAGGAGGGTGTGGCGTCGTCGAAACGAGCGCTTCCAAGACGTTAACGTCATCAGACATGATCGATTTGGGGGTGGTTCTGTTATGGTGTGGGGAGGCATCACTGTTGCTGGAAGAACGGCTTTACATGTTGTTGCAGGGCGTGTTACAGGCCAGTACTACCGGGACAACATCTTGGCAGTCCATGTTGTGCCGTTCGCACGACGTCATGGCCGCCGTTTCATCTTCCAGGATGACAACGCAAGATGTCACAGGGCCAGGATCGTTACAGGTTACCTCCAACAACAGAACATCACCACATTACCTTGGCCAGCACTGAGTCCCGACCTCTCCCCCATCGAGCATGTCTGGGACATGCTTGGACAGAGGTTACGTCAACGTCAACAAAATCCTGCCAATGTCCAAGAACTTGCTGCTGCGTTGCAACAGAAATGGGACAATCTGGACCAAAATGACCTTAGACGTCTCATTAGGAGTATGCCACGTCGGATCAATGCTTGTTTGGCAAACAGAGGAGGATTTACCCGTTACTGACTTGGTTGTGATGCTGTGGTAACTTTGCTGTTTGACCCCGGGTATCATTTTACCCTTATAATGGTCAGTCTGTGCCTTACTTAGTCTAACGATCATTTGGAATAAATCGATGAATGTGAACTTCATTTCATTTTGTCATTTGTTTCTTCGTCAGTTTCATTAGGTGACTTTAATAACACTTAAAAATCAAATATCCCCTACTTTTTTTGAATAGTATATTATATCTTCATGATAAACTCTCTGTGTGTGTGAAATAGCTTTACTTAACGTCTGTTTCCACTGATGTGATTTCGCAGACAAAGACAAGAGATTAAGGCCACAGAGGTTAAATAGACACTATCTTGTGCTAATGATGGCTACCTGGTCGGGATAGAGCTTGGTTAGAAAAAAAACCCAATGACCGAATGTCGGTGGTCGTAACGTCGTCCACGGCCCAAGTAACACCATGCTCACGCTGACTGGTTTGGCAAGACTTGCCCAGACGTCATGCACGACCCACACAATACCACTACCCACGCAGAAGGGTTTGACAAGACAAATGTTGTGTGGTAGTTCAGATATAACCCAAAACACGTCCACCCGTGTACGATTTGGGTACATGTACAGAGAACTCCTGGCACTAGGAACTTGAAGAATGAAATGAAATCGGGTTTAACGTCCTATTGTTCTGCTAATGAAGACGGACATACGTCATACAGTGTGCTATGAGGGACATTTTGCCCGGACAGCGGCATTACGGTCTACTCTAGTATCGAATTCCAACTGACAGGGGATCTTTTATATGCACTCTAATGTGTACACGTGACTTGGGTTCTTCGTCCCATCCGAACGACTAGACAGCTGTTCTTGTCAGGTCCTGCACCACCGACAAGGGGAAACCACGTCGGAAAATCACGGCCAACACCGGGAGCGAATCGGCGACCTCAAGACTAGCCACCTTGGCCAACATGCGAGCCAGCGTATTACTCACCTAGCCACCGTGGCTCCCGGAACTCAAAGATGGGTAGACAGAAAAGCAGCTGCCGGGAAAGTTTAAGCATATTGTAGTCTCAGAATAACCAATGTATTGTTCCAACGAGACGTTAAACTCTATACCGCTATTCCGTTTCATTACATCCACCTGAATTAAAGGTCAATTTTGGTGCCAGTCATTATCACATATGTGATAGAACTGGTTAAACACATTCCAAATATTATTTTATCACAGTGATCATTGCTACGATAGATGCGTAATCAATATTTCAGCAATCGGAAGTGACGAACGCAAAAGGAAAACACGAGTTATCCCTCTATATAACTGACTGAAGTGACGGGTGATAACAAATACATGGGCGAATTTCTGCTCACTAATAATTCCTTCGATACCAAAAGTTGTTGTGTGAGACTGTGAAGGGATATCTGACAATTCATAAAAAAAATTGACTGTCACTAGATAAGTGAACATGAAAGAAAAATAGAAAAAGTCCGTGCATTACCATGTTTTTATAAGTGATCTCTGAGATAAAATAATATCATTTTACCCTTATAATGGTCAGTCTGTGCCTTACTTAGTCTAACGATCATTTGGAATAAATCGATGAATGTGAACTTCATTTCATTTTGTCATTTGTTTCTTCGTCAGTTTCATTAGGTGACTTTAATAACACTTAAAAATCAAATATCCCCTACTTTTTTTGAATAGTATATAATACTACTATACTGTCATCAACGTTCATGAACTACTGGGCGTTGAAGGTAAGCGATTTCAGCCAATTCTCGCCCTCAGTAAGGGTTATTAATTAGGATATCGAATTGGGTCATATGTCATTAATAAATATTTAAGGCAGAAATACCTACTTTACAATTATGACGTATTATACTATACGGGTCCCGCGACTTTTAATCCGGCCCTGGAGTTCATGTTTCTTTCTGGTGAAGTGTTAAAAAATGTACAGCTCAGAAGAGCAATGAAATATTTAACCTTTTTAACTCCAAATTTTAACTTTTTATAATCGTCAATGTGCTAGACACTTGGCAGTTTGGTGTCGATGGTAGATGGAATCTCCGCTGTTCGTGCGATATCCCCTACATTCTACACGTGAACAATGTTTCCAAAATGAACAAAGGGATCTTTTGATTTGAATAAAAAAATCTATTGAAAATTGTGACTCTAGCGTGCCCACAAGCCCACAAGCTAAAGGGGCCATAATCAATGAAGTTACGGTCCGATACATGCCAATATCGACAGGAACCATGATGGACCTATATTTTAAGTTTCGTCAAAATCGGATCAAAATTTGACCTGTAGAGTGCCCACAAATAAATTTAGGACGGACAGGGGCGACTGCATAATACGTCCACCTGAAAATGTGGGCGTATGAAAATGGTCTGAGATAGAACACTTACCTATTAGAATCAGGAATATCTGCGGAAGAATCTGAAACATAGTGTTTAATAAGCTCCGGTGTTTTTAACATGAATGATTAACAAGGAATGGCAAAATTTACTTATTAATTTCTGTTTAAATGGCGTACAGATCAAAGGGTGTTATTCTGAAAGGGGAATAAAGCCGATGTTAGTCAGAGGGTGAATTAAATGATTGTTCAAAGGTATTATCTATTGTCACCAATACAAAAGTAAGGCGGTAATGGTTTCATCAGCCATGTAAACTCAGTGGTACACGGTACAAAAGCAGATCTATTGTCACCAATACAATTGTCTGCGATATCACTTCGGTGGAAGCGGACGTTAAATAAAGCTATTTCACACACACACCAATACAAAAGTAAGGCGATAATTGTTTCATTAGCCATTTAAACTCAGTGGTACATGTTAGGAGAATATTTAACCCATAAAGAACGAGGAAGTGATATGTTGATATCTAACAACAGATGGGGTTAAACACACGCACATTGATAGCAGTTGACTAAAACGTGCATATCGATATTTAAATAAATGTCAGGACCTCTTTGAACTCGTTGTCTGTCTTTTAAGCGACGGATATTCTACGTCATATACGCTTTTTAAAGGAACCGTTCAATGTGTACATATTTTTTTATCAAATATTTTAAACCATCATTTTCGATAAAAAAAAAAGACTTAAAGTCGTGTGTGCATTTTCGGACAGTAGTTAAATTTCCAATGCTTAGTCCACGCTTAAATGTAATTAAATTATTTATTTAACATTTGATTAAGAAAACAAAATAAAAATATCATTGTTCAACGATATCGATAATCTACCATTTTAGCCACAAACACGTTAAAAGGGGAATATCACAAGAGTCTAGGTTGATTTAACCATTTCCGGTCTATATCATCTGCAGACCAGCCGAATGCTTACAAATTATTGACTCACCATCTTTCTAAATACTGAACATTTTCGAATTGGTATTCCTTTCACAATTTTGTAAGGGATTAAAAATCCCCCAAATGACAATTAAAGACTTTAAGGCCTGTGATTTTGGTACTGTAAGTTTAAACCATATAAGCTTATAATTCAACAATACACTTTGTCCGGTCACCTCTTGTTTCCGGTTGTGGTTTCGATCCCTGGTATGAGCTTATGTGGCTTGGAGATATGGAAAGACCGCTGCACGTGCGCTAAGATAATAAAAATAAGACAATTTGTCTGCGATATCACCCTCAGTTGAAGTGGACGTTAAACACCAATAGAAGAAGCAGAAATACTTACTGGACGATGTACAAACGATCACGTTTTAGAGCTGCTATACGCTCAGTTTTATCAGTAGACGCTACATTTATTCCTGGGTAGAAAATGTCTATATGTCACGTTGTAGAAAAACGTGATATGCTGCATAAATGAACTAATGAGGTTAGGACATTAGGTTTAACGAATGCTCCAGCTACATCCCCAAATCAAATAAGATGAGGATGCATCAAAATGTTTACTAGTATTCAATTGCAACACAGAGCAAGGACAGTCTGTCAGAGTTGGTAGTTTAAATGCTCAATACTGCGGACAAACTGGAAGAAACTGACTTGAATATGCACTTTTGTTCATTAATCGTGTGGTTACCTTTATTAGCAGCCTCGGCAACTTCTATTTTCTATAACTATAAAAGAGTAAACAATGGCGCATGTCACAGCCCTGGTCAGGAGGCGGATCTAGGAATTTTTGTAGGAGGGGGTTTGCCAGGTTCATGTTAAGGAAATGTAACAGTTGACAATGCATGATGCCATCATAGTCTCCAAATTACGTAGGCATACATACACACTGAGCATATTAAAGAGAGAAATTCAACACCCCGTTTGACGTCAATATTTATTATGAATTAATAGGATCACATTGTGATTCAATTCCATTGATGCAAAGCATTAATTGTTATATCACATAATTATGTCTAAATCATTATCTCGCGCTTTGAATGCCCATTCCATCCCACCAGCTGATGATAAAGGACAAAGCACACGACCGTGACACTTTACTCATAAAAAGTGTTGTATTACACGCCACGCCCCGATCCGCCCCTGCTGGTATTCTTAATGTCCCGCCTGGCCATGTATTCAGAACATGCTAATGAGATGGAGGGTAATGGGCTGGTCTATTCAATGCGGTTAGGGATAGTGTTGCTCCCAATTCCCAAAAGATCGATTTTCATCCATATGGACAAGACTTCCCCAAGCGTTTTGATAACTTCGCCCGGCATGCAAATACACAAAACCCTTCTGAATGATACATACGCAAAGCTCGCATCTTCTAGTTGCAATTAAATACTACATGTACAATAACTAAGATCTAAAAAGAAAAAAACTATCGAACATGACATTTAGTATATTCAGATTTAATGTTTTTTGTCATCAAAGATATGTCCTCTAACACCCGTTTTACAATATATCTGTAATGAGGAAACAGTATCAGGCGATCAGTCGTATTCTTGAACATCTACCTGCAACTATCCATAAATGAGTGAGTTATTTACATTTTTCACCGGTTTGAATAAATTTCGAACAGTGCACTATAATTTCGCAATGGCACTCTTGCCACGACGTAACGACTGTTTATCTTTAAACTTATGAGCGTCAATATTGCTACTTTTAGGTCCCCTGCCCAACTTAGCAACACTACCGTGTGACACTGTTGTTTTCTTGTTATGTTTGGTACTGGGATTATGTGAACTCTTTTGGTCTCGGCTGACTACTGGTGGTGCAGCGGTTTGAACCCCGGGAAAGGACACAATACCAGTATCTGTCGGATAGTTATGATTTGGGCTTGGTAGCGTTTTGTTTCTGGTATAATCAGCATTCATATTTCGTGCATACACTGGTCCAGTATTAGATGAATGTGTATTTCCTGTATCAGAAGAGAGGACATGGCCTGTGTCCGCGAAAGGTGAGCCTGTGTCCGCGAAAGGTGTGTTTCCGTCTACAGGAAAAATTGGATATAATTGATGTATTTGGTTATTGGTAAGAACTGTGTTTGAATCTTCCAAAAATGGGCTTTGATCCGTTGCTATTGGTAGAAATGGATCCACAGGTAATATGCTATCATAGACTGGATATGCCGGATTTGTTGGTCCAGAGATATAGATTGGATAGATGCTTATTACTGGAGCAGGGTTGGTAGATGGATCTACATTTGGGCTCGGAGTGCTTTGAGGTTGGTACACCGTATTGTATATTGGAGTTGGTGCCACTGTATTACTAGATGACGTAGTCGGATTGTTGTATGTTGGACATGACTGGCCGACATAGTTACTACTGTATACTGCGTTCGTTCCACTTCCGAAACAATTCTGATATGATAACGGACTAGTGCATGTATAAGATGGTATTCCAGCTTGCTGTCCCATTGGCATTGCATTTATAGGCATTTTACCCATCGGCATACCAACAACTGGCATTCTACCCATTGGCATACCACCCATTGGCATACCACTCATTGGCATACCACCCATTGGCATACCACCTATTGGCATACCGCCCATTGGCATACCACCTACTGGCATAACACCAATTGGCATACCACCTATTGGCATTCCACTCATTGGCATTCCACCAAAACCCATGGGCATCCTTCCAAAATTTAATGGCATTCCACCAAAGCCTCCTGGCATACTGTTATATCCACCCATCATTCCGCCATATCCACCTCCTTGTTCCTTGCTTGTTCCGTATCCACCACCATGTACATCTATTCCACCAAAGTACACATTTCCATAGCCAGTGCCGCTACCAGAGCTACCCCCATATCCACCGCCACCCCCATAGCTGCCCCCGTAGCCCCCTCCACCACTATGACCCCCGTTGTAACCACCACCTCCATAAGAACTTTCGTGATTCCAATCCCCACCTCCGTAGCCCCCTCCACCACTATGACCCCCGTTGCCTCCGCCATTGTAACCTCCCCCTCCATAACTGCCCTCGTAGCCCCCTCCACCACTATTACCCCCGGTGTCTCCGCCATTGTAACCGCCACCTCCATAGCTGCCCTCATAGCCCCCTCCACCACTGTGACGCCCGTTGCCTCCACCACTGTAACCGCCACCTCCATAGCTGCCCTCGTGGCCCCCTCCACCACTGTGACCCCCGTTGCCTCCGCCATTGTAACCACCACCTCCATAGCTGCCCTCGTGGCCCACTCCACCACTGTGACCCCCGTTGCCTCCGCCATTGTAACCACCACCTCCATAGCTGCCCTCGTAGTCCCCTCCTCCACTGTGACCCCCGTTTCCTCCGCTATTGTAACCGCCACCTCCATATGAATTTTCGTGACCCCAGTCACCACCCCCGCGACCTTCACCATTGTTTGCTCCATATCCACCAGAATGTCCTCCACCATAACCGCCTTCATATTCATATCCACCATCATAGTCAGCATCATACCTATCTTCAGCACTACTATGAGCGCCATAACCGTTCCCGTAATGACCCCCTCCGTAATTATCATCATAGTCATAACCGTAATCGTCTTCGTTGTCGTAATTATTACCATAGTCACCACCATAGCCTCCATCATACCTATCTTCAGCACTACTATGAGCGCCATAACCATTCCCGTAATGACCACCTCCATCATAGTCATAACCGTAATCGTCTTCGTTGTCATAGGTATTACCATAGTTATCATAATCACTCCCGTAGTTATCATAGTTACCATAATCATCCTGATAGTTATTGCTGTATTCATTCATTCCTATACTACGTCCTCCTTTATGATTGTCATGCCAGCTTTCATAGTTATCGTAATTACCTCCATAGTCATTGCCATATTGGTCATAATCCCCTGTGTATGAATCATACTCCGCGTCATAGTTTTCATAATCACCTCCATCGTAATCATAGTTGTCATTGTTACCGGCATAGTTACCATATTCAGTTTCGTAGTCATCCTCGTAGTCATTTTCATAGTTATCGTTGTCACCTTCATAGTTATCGTTGTCACCTTCATAGTTATTATATTCGCCTTCATTATTACCATAGTGGCCATAATCGCTTGTATAGTCTTCTTCCATAGCCATACTATGACCACCATAATCACCTCTATAGTTATCGTAGTCATTTTCATCGCCATAGTTATAGTCACCTTCATAGTTCTCATTATCACCTCCATAGTTACCGTAGTTACCATGATCTCTTTTGTAGTTTCCCGCCATTTCCATACTATATCCACCATAATTACCGTCATAGTTATCATATTCATTGTCATAGTTATTATATTCATTGTCATAGTTATTATAATCCCCTTCATAGTTTTCATCCATACTATAAGTTTCGTAATCACCATTGCCATTGTCACCGCCATAGTTATCATAGTTGTTGTCATCTCTATAGTTACCATAATCATTACCGTAGTTATCATAATCATTTTCATAGTTATAATAATCATTTCCATAGTTATCATAATCATTTTCATAGTTACCATAGTCAGCTTCATAGTTACCATGGTAACCATAATCGCTTCCATAGTCTTCCTCCATATACATGCTATAACCACCATAATCATTTTCATAGTTGCCATAACCACCGCGATAGTTATCGTAATCGCTTTCATAGTTATCATCATCACCCCCATAGTTATCATAATCACTTTCATAGTTACCATAATCACTTTCATAGTTACCATAATCACTTTCATAGTTTCCTTCCATTCCAGTATTGTAATCACCGCCATAGTTACCATAATCATTATAATCACCGTCATCGTTACCATAATCTCGTCCATAGTTCCCTTCCATGTTCATACTATAACCACCATAATCATTTTCATAGTTGCCATAATCACCGCGATAGTTATCGTAATCGCTTTCATAGTTATCATCATCACCCCCATAGTTATCATAATCACTTTCATAGTTACCATAATCACTTTCATAGTTTCCTTCCATTCCCGTATTGTAATCACCGCCATAGTTACCATAATCATTATAATCACCGCCATCGTTACCATAATCTCTTCCATAGTTTCCTTCCATGTTCATACTATAACCCCCATAATCACCACCATAGTTACCATTGTCATCTTCGTAGTCACCATAATCACCACCATATTTATCATCGTCATTTTCATAGTTATTGTAATCATCGCCATAGTTACCATAATCACTTCCATAGTTTCCCTCCATTTCCATATTATAATCACCGCCATAGTTATTATAGTCATTGTCACTGCCATAGTTACCATAATCACTTCCATAGTTACCATACTCACCACCATAATTTTCATAGTCATTTTCATAATTACCATAATCACCACCATAGTTATCATAGTCACTTTCATAGTTATCATAGTCATTTTCATCTTTATAATTACCATAATCATTTCCGTAGTTTCCTCCCATTCCCATATTGTAATCACCGCCATAGTTATCATAGTCATTTTCATCTTTATAATTACCATAATCATTTCCGTAGTTTCCTCCCATTCCCATATTGTAATCACCGCCATAGTTGTCATAGTTACCAGCATTGCTTCCATAGTTTCCCCCCATTCCCATATCATAATCATTTTCATAGTTATCATAATTATTTTCATAGTTATCATAATCATTATCATAAGCATTTTCATAGTTATCATAGTCACCTTCATCTTCCATAACCATACCATAACCGCCATAAGCATTTTCATAGTTACCATAATCACTCCCATAGTTTCCTTCCATTCCCATATTGTAATCACCGCCATAATTATCATAGTCATTGCCACCGCCGCCATAGTTACCATATTCATGTTCAGCGCCATAGTTACCATAATCATTTCCGTAGTTTCCCATCATACCCATACTATAACCCCCGTAATCACCACCATAGTTACCATTGTCACCTCCATAGTTATCATAGTCATTTTCATAGTCATCATAATTATCTCCATAATCACCACCATAGTTACCATTGTCATAATCGCCTTCATAGTTATCATAATCTCCTCCATAGTTACTATAATCACTTGCGTATGCAATATAATCACCTTCGTAGTCATTACCATAATTACCCTCGTAATTGTCGCTCATTCCCATACTGTAACCCCCATAATTGTCTTCATAGTTACCATAATCTTCCTCATAGTTACCATAATCGCTTTCATGGTTACCATAATATCCTCCATAGTCACTATCATAATTGCCATAATCATCTCTGTAGTTATTACCATAGTTACTCCCGTAGTCTTCCTCCATTCCGATGTCGTAACCTCCATAATCGCCTTCATAGTTACCATAATCTCCATTATAGTTACCATAATCGCCTTCATATTTATCATAATCGCCTTCATAATTACCATAATCGCCTTCATAATTATCATAATCACCTCCATAGTTATTATCATAGTTGCTGTAGTCATTACCATAGTTGCTGTAGTCATTACCATAGTTGCTGTAGTCATTACCATAGTTACCTCCGTAGTTTTGATCCATTCCCATACTATAACCTCCATTATCTCCCCCATTGTTATCATAATCAGCCCCATAGTTACCGTATTCATCTCCATAATTACCATAATCACTCCCCTGGTAATCATTATAATATCCACGTTTGGCACGTCGTAATTTAGTTAGATCCTCAGAGAAGGGTTCCACTCCAAACTGTCCAATGATACCGCTTCGCTTGTAGCCGCCATTGTAATGAAAGTGGCTGTCATCATGAAGTTGCCTGATCCGTCGATTTCCCTTTCCGTGTCGTTTACTTCGTGTTCTGTGTTTTTTAACTTCTGCAAATCTTCGTTTTCTTTTATTTACTTTAGTCTTCATACCAATTCCATGTGTCCGGTTTATATTTGTATTGACCCTGGCAGTACCGATCACATTTTTCCGGTGTATATTTGTCTGGTTTAAAGCTGTATTGCCCCCGACAGTACCATTTCCATTTGTGTTGTTAATAGTTGTATTGTTCGTGACAGCACTATCTCCACTTGTCTGGTTCATAGATGTGTGGATCCCGATAGTACCACTTCCACTATTCTGGTTGTTATTGATATTGACCACGGCAGGGTCATCCCCATTCATCCCGCCATTAGTTGCACCAGTTCCATTTGACTGGTTTTGCGTTATGTTAACCCCGACAGTACCATTTTCAATCGTTTGGTAATTAGTTATACTGATTTCAGATGTATCCTCTAAATTTGTCTCATTTCCCTTTCTTCTTTTGTTTTCAATCCGTCTCCGTCTGATATTTCTTATATTTTGATTTCTATGTACGGTTCTGCTGTTGCGACGAATATTTCTCCTCCGCGGAGCAATATTTGGGAAATGGTTTTGACGCCTATGGTGGTTTGTATGAGCTAATATTTCACTAGCCATTCCATCGGTAGCTCTACCGGTGACATTTTGTCTAGACATATCTTCACTGTCATCAAATCGGTCTATGCTTCCTAGATCTGTGTCAGTTTCCTGATTTGTGGAAACACCTTTACCTTTCTTTCTGCTTGCATTATTCGAAGTCCGAGAAATATTCAAACGTGTGTGTCTCCGTACTAATTTACTGTTCACACGCCGTTTTTGTCTTTTAGTTATCTGCTTTGGACTATTATCTGTTTGGCGCTCGTTGATGCCACTTGTAGTGTTGAGAAGTCGATCTTCATCAAATTCAACCATTCTGTCGTCTGTCAAGGAATGGCTTCCAATGTCTAAAGAAGTGGTATTCACTGTAGCGACATGTCGCAATAAAATTGCAGTTTCTGTGTCTTGCATTCCATGGATATGCTCAGCAACTAATGTTTCGCCGATGCTGGTGCCATTTGCTTCATGGCTAGTATCATATTCTGTTGTTCTCCCATTTTCAGTGATATGTAGAGATCTCTTAATATTTTGTGAGCTTTTATTAGCTAAACGAAGGTCCTCGATGTACCCGACATTCATTTCGTGACTGTCACGATCGTTTCTATGTACTCGTTCGTGGCTACCACTGCCTCTGCCCCTGTGTTCATGGCTATTACCTCCCACGTTGTACCCGGCATTCAATTCGTGACTGCCACGCTCGTTTCTGTGTTCTCGTTCGTGGCCATCACTGCCTCTGCCCCCGTGTTCATGGCTATTACTTCCCACGTTGCGTCTCCGATATCGCTGGTTACTTCTCAGTTCTCCAATCTCTTCACTTCGTGTAACTGCAGTATCACCATGTGCCAACCTGCCCACGTGAACAGGTCGACGAAAACCATCTCTGCTCCCGTCCTCGTGGCTAGCACTGCCCACGTTGCGTCTCTGGAATCTCCGGTGGCTGCTTCCGTCTTCATTGTCTTCGCTTGCGTCTCGATGTACAACGTCTCGACGAAACTCCTCTATGTCCCCATACTCGTAGCTATCAGTGCCGACATTGCTTTTCTGAAATCTATGGTGGATTCCGACCTCTTCAGCCTCTTCACTTGTGTCTGGATTCACAACCCTTTTTCGTATAACTGCAGTATAAACCGTGGATGCTGGAAGAAAGAAGACGATGAAAACAAATACTAGGGAATGATAGTCAACATGTCAGTGATTAGTAGGACCCAAAAATATTGTTAAATCCAAATAGAGAGCCAACGTTGAGATATAACGGATTTTGTGTTCAACGGGCAACTGATTAAAATAAAACTGAAACCGTAATTAAACATACATTATGCAAGAGCTAAATCTGCCAATTGCAAGTCTTTCTTTAGGCCTGAAATGTTATCTAAATTATTAATTAGACATTAATTAACTTATGCAGGCCATAATCAACTCTCGAAGGCATCGCTAGCCTGCGATAATATTTACTGGATTATGATCCCATTTGCTGCTCGACTTCCATTCATGACTTATTCATGAAATGGATGATCGAGACTATTTTTTATCGTACAGACTAGGCCGAAATTGTAATCGCTTAATTCTCGGTTCATAGTGAATCAATATAACTGAAATTTTCAGCAAATTGCCTTTACATTATCTTGTTTTTAACTATTATAGTGAGAACTACCAGCTCTTTATCTTATCTCCCATAATGTATCTTTAACGATATTGAGAATTTCTATAACACACAATATCCGTCCATACATAAAACATAATTCAATGAAATACAGTGTTTGATACGAATAAAACTACAGCAAGAGAACCGAAACGTCGGTCGGTAATAGACAGTAATTGTATTCCATAAAATTGTGTCTTGTGCATTTCCAATTCAATTACAAAATATCAGTTCAGTTTAATTGGACTTAGTTCCTTTAAAGTCTAGATGCGTCATTGCAAACTACAAAATTGTGAACAATTAATTTCTAATTGGATTATCAGACACGAAAACGGATCATGATAAATTGCACTTTCAACGATCAATGCTGCTCGCTATAACAAGACACCACCATCTTGTAATTTAGGTCCATTGATAGAAAAGAAATGCGATGGGCATAGTTTAAATCCGATTGAATCCCAGTCGAGACATTATCTAGCGTTTGTATTTTGTTTTCTTCATTAAATATCAAAACAACAATCGAAGTACATAAAGTGGATTATATCGTGAGAAATTTGAAATTTGCAAATTACGCATCGAGCCTTTAAAATGTGTTCAGGATTTAGGAACTGAAATGCGATTTCAGGTACTACTGTTCTGCTCCGACGGGGCTAATGAAGACGGGCATACGCCATGCGGTGTGCTATGATGGAAATTTTGCCGGACAGCGGCGCTACGGCCTACTCTTATATCGAATTCCAACTGTCAAGGGATCTTTTACTTGCACGCGGATGTATACACGGGACCTCGGCCTTCCATACCACCCGAACGACTAGACAGCGTCCTGCACCACTGACAAGGGGGGGGGGGGAGCACGCAGGAAAATCCCGATTAACTTTCTAAGCCAACACCGAGATCTAACTCGCGACCTCCAGGCAAGCGAGCTGGCTTCTTAGTCACTTAGCTACCGTAGCTCCATCCAGTAATCAAAACTATATGTGTTAATAATTCCATGTCTGAAAATCTGATAATCTGAAGAAATAGAACTTACAGATTAGAAGCTGAAGACATATCCATCGGAAGATATACATTGCTTTAATTAATCTCGATGGTGATAAATACTGAATTGTGATGACCGAATAAAATACCTGCCTTTATATACATGAAATCATATGCTGCAAATATTTCCATACTTCCGTCATAGTTTCGTAGGAAATGTAAATTAATTCAAGTTACATATTTTGCATGTCTAGAGATAAATTCAACATTTGGTTAAAAGACTGTAATTCACGTTTTAACTCCGTTAATTAGACAGTAGAAGGAAAATTGGATAGGTCATTCTAATAGCAAGCTCATTTTTTGTTTAAATACTGAGGTCAGTTGTCTAATATTTTAAAGTAAATAAAATAAGTTATTTATTTTAAACAGTAGAAAGATGTGTTTTATGCACGATGCATACATTTGCTATAAAAAAGGTTCTGTATTCAGATGATGTATTAAACACGTACGGTTCTGCACATGACGAAAGCTTAGCTCACAACCGGTTAGTGCTAAATGATAAGGCCAGCTCAAGTTTTCGTCATAGGTCACGAGATGTAAACAGGGGTAGCGCTAATCCCAACCATGTGCCTAACCCCGGACTTAGCCCCAATGCTTAAACTAACCCTAACCTACAATATCGCCATTAATCACGTGCCCTAACCTTATTTACATCTCAACGACCTTGACAAAAATTGAGCTGGCCTTAACAAATGGATTTAGCCCTCACAACCTGTCGTACGTGCTACTTCGGCCAGTCTACGCGCCGTAGTAGATCGCAAACTGGTCCCGCACAAACAAAATTTTCACCCGATTTCTTGCGGCTGGTCTGCGAGCTACCAAACTTTACGACCAATGCGTGTACCGCAGGCTGTGAGCTAGGTTTTAGCGAAGCAACTTGAAGACTTTGGAATATTTTTATTTTATTGCTGCGATGTCTTTATAACATCAAAACAATTCTCAACCTTATATATATATATATGTACACGGAAAAGTTTGATTTTTTTATTTGTGAGTTTGTGCGGATGTTCTCTATAGGAAACTAAGAGGTTGAAGTTTTAGATTTGAGAATAGTTTTATGTTAACAAGGTTGTTTTATATATAGTGTATTTTGTACAGTATTTAAAACCGGAAAACAGCTACGAAGCAGATTCCAACCACCACCAGGCTTCCACCAACCACCACCAGGCTTCCACCAACCACCACCAGGCTTCAACCGACCACCACCAGGCTTCAACCGATCACCACCAGGATTCCACCAACCACCACCCGGATTCCGCTTCCAACACCAACCAAGTCGACAACCAAATCAGCACCAACCAAGTCGACTACCAAACCAACCAAGTCGACAACCAAACCAGCGCCAACCAAAACGACAACCAAACCAGCGCCAACCACCCCCAGAAAATGCAGGTGTCGTGAAAGCCTTCTTTCGGGTCCTCCAATGCCTCCACCACTTGACCATTATGGAGAGTCAGGAGAATGGAACACCAACCAGAAGTTTCACTTGGAAGATCCAACACCTGAATACGTTCGTGAAGACGCCTACCATAGCCACTACCATTGAGACATTGAACTTGAAATGGGCCAAGGACGTCGCCTCATCCCTGTCGACACACTACCGAGCCATGCTAGCGGAGGAACTGGAGTACTTGAAGTCACGTCACTTTACCAAAGATGCATGGGCCAAGAAGTCCTACGGCAAGCGACTTCAGAATAGTGTGAAGACAGAGTTCCACCGCCTACTGTCCACGGTCTCTAAAACTGTCACGCCCCCTCCCCCATCACCCATGCACATTACGCACAACCTTCTCCGGGACACACCAAAACGATACACACCTAACAAGAGAAAATTATCCCCTGGAGAAGGCACTTGCATTAACACTCCCTCGAAGCGTGCAGCTAGATCAACCAGTTCGCCCCGGGCTGTGTCAGGCTCACCTACTTCCTCGGGATCTATATCGCCACTAAACGCGCTTGTCGACTGTCTGTCCCCTAGATCGCCCATCATTCCTAACCCTAGAATCGCCACCAGATCTTCCACCAGATGTAGGCGATCACTCAACCTATCCCTAAAGAGACCTCACAGCTACAAAGGTAAAGACGAGAAGGATTTATGGTTCCTACCACCCGTCATGGCAAAGACCCTGGTTATTGGATCCTCTAACCTGGCTAGGATTGCATCCTTCGTCGGGGACTGGGAGATACTCCAGAACTACATGGGTCCTGCACCAGAGGAATTAGTGATACACGTCGGGCTCAACAACAGGGAGGAAAGTGGACCAAGGATACACGAGCAGATGCTAGATCTACTCAAGGTGACCAGAGCAGCTTTCCCAACAACCAAGCTCTTCGCCACACAGATCCCCACTTCTTCCCGACTCCGACAAGAAAATCCGATCGCCTACCAAAACATCACCAGCTACAACCAACTGATCTCCACTGCACCTTCACCAAACGCAACCACATTACCAACCTTCAAGGGCAAAATAGAACTGAAAGGTAACGACGCAATCCACTGGAGCCCAGACACGGCCAGAGAGATCATCAACTGCTGGATGAGGAATTTAAACTAGGATTAGGGAAAAGGAATGAGAAGCCGTCTTTAGGACAGACAGTTGTCAATTCGAGCGACAGACTTCTCAACCCCCTAGAAATGAACATTCTTGATAAAGGCCTTAAATTCATCCCAACCCCACAATAACATCCATAGACCCCATCACCCAGGCAACCGATCGCTTCCAAAGAACACTTTCGTTGACATATTTTTTTAGGAACAAACCCGGCAGAGGTAAAAAATTATTCACAGCAAAATCCACATGGAAACCACCTAAAAGGTCATTATCACCAGCCATCCTAAAAACGTTCGACGAAATGAATATAGAAATATCATCCATTCAACCACAGTCACAAAAACCAAATCTCAACCGAGCAACTAAAACGGCATTAAACACCCTTAAAAAGGACAAAAACATAATAATTAAGAAAAGCGACAAAGGCTCGTGTTGTGTCATAATGAATCGCGCAGACTATATCTCAGAGGCAGAAAAACAATTAAGTAATCCTATACATTACACTAAATTAGACCAACCCATCTTTAAAGACACCGCAAATTTAATAAACAACATCTTATATGAATTGCAGGATAAGGAATGCATAACAGCAAAACAATATAATTATCTATCTGCTAATATTTCTGAGGACTCAACACATAAAGATGGCCAAGTTTAATTCTGCATTAATGTCTGTTTGTAGTCAATCTGATTAGAACACATATCCTATTTCGTTTTGTTTTTTGTAGTTCAAAATTTCGTTTTACTTGTCTTTACTACACTAGGATGAGGAAGAGTTGTTATATTACCGGCGTTTTGGTTGAAGTGAGGGATAAGCCAATGAAACGGTCTGTTACGACGACTTCTTGGCGTGCCATGCACGGAACTGTGGGTAAACCACTAGAAACGCCAACGCTGATTGATTAATCAATCTCTGACATCATAGGTCAAAAGCCACTCGTACGACCCCTGACACGGCCTTCGAGTACAACTTGTCAGATCTTCATGGAGTGTAGGTCATCGAGAGTATATAAAAACAAAACGAAATATAGATCTGTATTTAAAACAGATTGGTTTGTAGTGAGAATTATGTGTATAATTTGGTACTATGAGCTTTGTAAGCTTGAATTACAATCTAATAAATAATATATTTTGCTCTGATTATGTAATACCCTTTCTGTTTGATAAAATTTTAAAATTCTACTATATGCCTTTTTAAAGGAGGCAAGTCTCAGACTCAATATCACCCAGTCTTCGACATAGCAAACACGACTTATTGGTCAATTTTAATAAGAACTAAATAGAGTATTTTCTGTAATAAAACGGAAGGAGAGTGTTACATGTAATGAGTATTGTGAGATTATAGAGGAAGAAATGTATTCACTGAGTCAAAACAAAATTTTTGACGTCGCGTGATATAACTTGTACCTATTGTGGTCTGCTAGACCAGATAATGTAAGACAATGTAATTCCTTCAAGTACCTGTGTATTTTTATGATGATCTTGGAGAATGGAATGTTGAATTGGTATGTTCTAATTATTTTACTTCTTTCATGTTCATTATATTTCTTGTAATAATCGGTTATTATACCAAATAATATATGTGGGTTAGGTGGCGTAATGGTCTAGCGCGTGAGGCCCTTCACGTCACATGATCTGTCACGTGGTTTCGATCCCGAGCTTGTACTTGCGGTACTAGACATCTAAGAGAGACAAACTAGGTCATTTCGGGACTAACAGTTTACTTGAGCGTAGAGATCTGTGGAAAGAAACCGAGGGGTCCGGAAAAAAACGACGAGTTTGGGCAGGCGACCCTACTCCTTGTCATGTACAAGCGATGAATCGAAACTGTACCACTTGACTAAATGGCAGACTGCATGATCTTCGCGTACGCCTTAGACTATTCGGCCAGCCCTCTGGACATTTCACATCGAAATGAAATGCAGTGTTCTGTAAGGGGGGCTTTGATTGGGAGCGGCGTTTGTGCCTCCTCGAATTCTAAATGCCAATTGTTCTTGCACGGTATCCCATCCAAACGACTAGGCGTTGTTCCTTGCCAGGTCCTTCTTCTTACACCTCTGACAAATTTGGAATTCGGGATTCAAAATCTGCAATACGGTCTGGATTATAAATTCGAAATAACTAATATCGCTATAATAAGTGATTACATATAAAGGGAGGCAATTCTGTTTTATTTTAACAAAATAATTACTTGCATTGGGGTTATGATTTTAATGAAATGCGGTTTACGCACACAAAAATGTGTACACGGGATCGCGGAATTTCGTCCCACCCGAACGACTAGACACGGCCTTTGCCCAGGCCTCCGTTCTGCACCACTGACAATTGGAAACAACGATGGAATATCCTGGAGACCTTTCTGGGCCAACTCATAGTTGATTTAAGGGTGCCACAAATGACCACGATTGTCAAGGCATCGTATAGGAATCTGTTACGGATGATACATCTACACATTCCAAAATTGGTAGACCGACAACGAAAGTTTTTAACAAGAAACAAATAAGAATCATCCACGAACCTCAACAACCGTCTGCGATTTATCTACGAATCGGAAAAAATTTGGATTCGAAACAATTCGTGGCATTCGTAACCCACGTAAAAGCTAGGCATTACATAATGTATCTTTAAAAATTAGGATTGTGTCATGATTTCCGCTCCATAAATTCTCAGAATTGAGTTATAACGTGCTGGTAATTGATCGCTGATATTGTTGTTTGTTTGAACAAACATCATAGGGGCCATGATACTTCCCATTTAAACTTTAACACGTGAATAGAAAACTTCGTACAATCTGTGGGATCTGGCATAAACTGGAACCGTGTGTTAGTAGATCCCTGTACGGTTAAAACATAGCATAACATCAAAATACAAGCTATACTCCTCATAATGTTACGATCTGTAGATGACTGCCTTGTGCTAGGTGTCTTCCTTTGTGAAATTTAAATGTCTTCGCTTCATTTCACTTCTTTAAATAACACGTCTCCAATCCAAGTGTTTTATATTGAGCAGGAATGTATTTGAAGACGTAACACGCCACGCCCACCAGTAGGTAATTAACTCATCGGCGTGACGTGAGAACTGTATAATTAAACAAGAAACTAATCATTAGTAAAGAAAGTAGTTCGTATTTAATTTGAGATTCGGATGAAAATTCGGTGTTGATTGTGAACACTGGATTAGTTTAAACTACAGGGAAAAGACAAAAAGGATGGGCTTAAATTAAATGTGTGTGTGAGTTAGTAGTATTTTACGTCCGCTTTCAATATCGCAGACATATTGAAGGAAACTTAAACCGATTTTAACCCATGCGTGGCCTATAGAGGATGGGGAATGTGCATAGTAATGGGAGGGTGGTGATTATTTTAACACGGTAAGTAATGTGAATGTGATCATTATTTTGACACTGTAAGTAATGGCAGTGTGGGGATTATTTTATCACGGTAAGTTTTGGGAGTGTGGGATTTATTTTAACACTGTAAGTAATGGCAGTGTGGTGACTATTTTAGCACTGTAAGTAATGGGAGGGTGGTGATTATTTTATCACTGTAAGTTATGGGAGGATGGTGTTTATTTTAACAAGGTAAGTAATGGGAGTGTGGTGATTATTTTATCACGGTAAGTAATGGAAGGGTGGGCATTATTTTATCACGGTAAGTAATGGCAGTGTGGTGATTATTTTATCACGGTAAGTAATGGGAGGGTGGGGAATATTTTATCACGGTAAGTAATGGGAGGGTGGGGATTATTTTATCACGGTAAGTAATGGGAGGGTGGGGATTATTTTTTCACGGTAAGTAATGGCAGTGTGGTGTTTATTTTATCACGGTATGTAATGGAAGTGTGGTGATTGTTTTATCACGGTATGTAATGGCAGTGTGGTGATTATTTTATCACGGTAAGTAATGGGAGTGTGGTGATTATTTTAACACTGTAAGTAATGGGAGGTTGGTGATTATTTTATCACGGTAAGAAATGGGGGTGTGGTGATTATTTTATCACGGTAAGTAATGGGAGGGTGGGGATTATTTTATCACGGTATGTAATGGGAGTGTGGTGATTACTTTATCACGGTAAGTAATGGGAGTGTGGTGATTATTTTAAAACTGTAAGTAATGGGAGGGTGGTGATTATTTTATCACGGTAAGAAATGGGAGTGTGGCGAATATTTTATCGCGGTAAGTAATGGGAGAGTGGGGATTTATTTTATCACGGTAAGTAATGGGAGGGTGATGATTATTTTATCACTGTAAGTAATGGGAGGGTGGTGATTATTTAAACACTGTAAGTAATTGGAGTGTGGGGAGTATTTTATCACAGTAATTATTTTAACAATGTAAGTAATAACAGACTAGTGTTTATTTGTGGGTCCTTGGTGATTAATGGCAGTGTGATACAAATACGACGCATTGATACCTTAATATTTGAAACTGGTTTCATTGCCGCTGCACAACGATGAATGTAATGGGGTTTAGCGTCCTACTTGTTTGCACCTACCGGAATAATGGAGAATATCATGCACAATGTTTAGTACCCGCCAACGTGTACACTGAAGATAGGCTATTCGTACAATTCGAACGAATAACTATGTTCATGCCAGGACGGGGATTGCGTGGCCCAATGGTTAGCATAAGGTCTGTCATTGAGTCAACTGACGTGGTTTCGATTCCCCGGTTGTACGTGGCCAGGTGTAGGGTCGCCTGTCCAACCTCGTGGGTTTTCTCCGGGTCCTCCGGTTTCCTCCTACCGCTACAGACCCCTACGCGCAATCGAATTATTGAAATAAAATTGAACTAGTTTGTGTCGAGTGGACGTTAAACCCCACCTCTCTCTTTCTATTTTGAATCATGTGTTAGTTCCGAAATGAGTGGACGTTAAACTCTCTCTCTCTCTCTCTCTCTCTCTCTCGTGTCAGACCTTCCTACCTACACCATATAACTATGTATGCTCGACACAAACTAGGTCATTTCGGGACTAACATATGGTTTAATTTTATTTCAATAATTCGCTTGCGCGTAGGGGTCTTTAGCAGTGGGAGGAAACCGGAGGACCCGGAGAAAACCCACGAGGTTGGACAGGCGACCCTACTCCTTGCCACGTACAACCGGGGATTCGGAACAACGCCAGTTGACTCAATGACAGACTTTATGATACAGCGCGCGCACGCTAACCATTCAGCCATCCAACCCCCCCAATGTAATTGTAACAGTTTCTAGCTATAGTGTAGTCAACAAAAAAATAGCTTTTTGGTGAGACAATCATTTTATTACTAAATATCTATATACAGTAAAGTTGTCAATAAATGTGATTGGTTATCCCCCTTTAATGCAATACATAGGATTATTTGTCCCATGATCAAACCAATATTAAAATATCCAGTTTGGAGAACAAACAAAAATGTTAAAAGGTTTACCCCATCCAAATTCCTTATTATTCCAGAGCGAAGTATTTCCCTTTAACCAAAAGAATAAACTATTCCCTCAATTTTGTGCTTAAACACTTAGTTATGAATTTTATAGAACGGTTTTCTAATTCATGATTCCATGAAGAATATAATTCCAAGGACGGAGTGAGAACATTTAAAAAAATGAAAAAAAATACACTCTATTAAAAAACATATATTAATTAGAAATAAACAAATAAAATTATATAAAAAAAAATTGTGTGGCAAGCAACAGTCAATAAATATTTACATATTTGTGATTTTGTGTTTTTCTTCTATATTAAACAATATTTAATTGTTGAAGAAGGTTTTAGCGTCGACATCGACACATTCTTTTTGAGAAGGAGAGAAGATTCTTGGGGAACCACTTCTAGAGCGTGCGCAGGTACCAGCTTCCAGGGTTCGGCCATCTTGGCATCGAGCAAAGTATGGAGTAAAGGATCGCCCTTCCCATTCCTGGAATCCGTTACTCTTTCCAGCACAGTTGGGATATCTGACATTACAGGGTCGGCAATGAGCTCGTGCACACTGATTTCTTCGCTGGTCACCTAAAAACAAGAAAATAATATTGATAAAGCCACGTTTAATAAGGAAAGCCCACTACTTCCGGTCTTAATCTGAATCGGGAACAACATCACTTACTAATGTGAGGTTGCACATTTTATAATAAGGTTTTACGTGTACGTAATTTTACATTCACTATGTGCCAGTGTACTAATATATAACGGTCTTTGAAGATTATAGTGTAACTGATAGAAATTGTGTAATGGCTGAGAAATAACGGTGTTGCAGCTAACAGTAACAAGCACTGAGAGATAACAGTCTTTCAGCGCAAGTTAAACCAGTGCAACTGACAATCGCTAAGAAATGACGTTCTTAAATATTGAACGCCATTTAATAATTGTTAAAATACAGATGTGGCGTCATCCTTTGATGTTGGCGTACCATTATTTCCAATAATGTACGGGCAACTTGCCAATCGTATATTATCTATACTAGATGAAATATTGGACTCGCGTGCCGTATTTCATTGGAAAGCACTTGCAGGATAGTGTCTGTATTTTAAGTTGTTTAACGGTCTCGAGCTAAAGATATTGCGTAATATATTGAAACAACACTCGGCTAACGCCCTGTGCAGTATCAATATATTACTTAATATCTCGCTCTCGACCATTAAACCATACATTATATTTATTATCGTAGCATGGGTACTTGAGATACTAGACTATCTACGTTACGTCTTGTCAAAACTTCAAACACTCATAACATCGATCAGAATAAACCAATATAACCATTTTTCATTATCGATTTTTGAACTTTATCGGCAAGAATGGGCATATATCTATTTAAATCTTACATAATGCGTCTTTACGGTTAAAATGAACTTACAGGGATTGAGTAGTACAGGTCTTCCATTACAGTTGCCTTCAACCTTTGTGTAATCATTTTCACATTTCAGATTATCAGCATCAAACAGAGCTGGATAAATACATTCGTCTTGGAACTGTCCCAAATTACCAGATTCGTCCGTATTGACTTTTGAACAATTGTAGAAACCGGCGCAGTTATTGGCATCCGGGTACAAGCATGTTGGACACTGGGCACAATAACTAAAAACATCTTCGTATGCTCTTACTGAAATATACAAAACAATAATTATACATAATATAAATATACATAATACAAGTAATAGTTTTATTTTCCCAAAATGGCAGAAAACTGAAATGCAATGGGGTTTAATGTCCTTTTGTTTACGCTAAACGGACTAACGGGGCGATGATTTTGCCTACTATCATTACATGTGCATGCCAACGTGTAGACGAGACCTCAGTTAGGTCCGTCCTCGGCAGTCTCTTTCCGTCTACATCATTTGGAAGGGGGTGGGGGCAAGTGTAGTAATTCTCCAGGAACTTGCTCGGCCAACACCGGGATCGAACCGGGAACCTATTGGCCAGCGAACCAGCCATCGTCGCTCTTTGTCATGTTATAAATGAATTGAAATGAAATGGGGTTTAACAGCCTACTGTTTTGCTCCGACTGGGATTATGAAGACGGGATTGTCGTGCTGTACTTCAGCATTTAAAAGACTGGCTTGAGTTGGGTAATTTTAAATGCCCGACATGAAATATGTTTTAACCGTTGGGGAAAATGTTGTATCTCTGTGGTAAATCGGTATTCAAAGGGTTAAGCTGCTTTCTTTGATATTTACTTTTTATTAAGTTATTTGATCTATTTTCGCTGAACGTTCCTCAAAGATATATTATGATAGTCTCTATCATTCAGACAAATATTCTACAAACAAAGACTAGGAAGGTTCTGGGTGTGCGAGACTAATAGTGTAAGGGTGTCAAATATTTGTTTAAATTGACGCCTTGTCAATTGGGTGTTGATTTTGATTGGAAAGTGTGAAAACACGATAAGTGTGATGGCGGCAGCTGTGACAAGGAGGAAACAGTGACGTATCTTTGCAACTGAGGTAAAGTTTGACCGTCTGTTTACATGCTGATCAACGTGACGATCCAGAGATGATGGGAATTACCTTAATGTCTTAATTTATTGTGATTGTTTAAACACAAGGAGGCTCTACTGTATTTAACGGAAAACGATAATTTTCATTTTAGTGACTCTTTCAAAATCATGTAAAATATTATCACCGACGTTTTCAAGCATGGGCAAGAGGAGGTAACCCCACTCACACCGGTGGACGCGCACACCCGATGGCTAGATCTATTTGTTAAGGCCAACTCACTTTTCGTCAAGGTCGCTGAGATGTAAATATCCACACCCAATAGAGATTTGTTTCTTAGTTTGTTTTTTTTAAATCGTGTAGCTTTTAGCATGCCGTTTGTAAATATGAAAAGTTTGGCGAGGGTATTATTTTATTATGTTAGGGGTGGGAGGGGCGTCACTGAAATTTTTGATCTGGGGGGGACACATAGGTTTGTTAGGTAATTATGAATTTTGGTGTAATTATGACGTTAGATCTAAGTCAGTAAACAAAAATGTAGCAAAATAATTTGAAGAGAATAGAGTTTTAATATAATATATGTAGTGGACTGTTCAGATATATGTAGTAGATGTATATATGTACACAGGTAAAACTCTTAACATGATGTCATCACTATGGTGATAATACCCGGGTATATTTACTCAGATGTTTCTACACTCGCCACATCGACTAGAGATAATTGTTTAGAGGGTGGAGGTCGAACTATATTCCTTACTAGTATAGTTATATGAACAACCGACGAACCGAGGTAAATGAAATGAAATGGGGTGTAACGTCTTACTATTCTGCGCCGACTGGACAACCGAGATAATTACACCGCATTATTCCGTCAATCGCAACCTTCAGTGTCGTATATCAACTGGGGGAGCCACGGTGGCTAATTGAGTAAGACGCTGGTGTGCTAGCCTGGGGGTCTCTAGTTCCATCCCGGTGTTGGTCGAGAAAGTTCATTGGTATTTTCTGGCGTGGTTTTCTTTTGTCAGTGGTACCAGACGGAGGGTCTTAAAAGGACAGCTGCCTAGTCATTCGGATGAGAAGAAAACCCGAGGTCCCGTGTAAACATAGGCATACACGTAAATGATCCCTTGGCAGTTGGGATTCGATATAAGAGTAGGTCGTAGCGCCGCTGTGCGGGAAAAATTTCCCTCGTAGCAAACTGTATGGCGTATGCCCGTCTTCATTAACCCAGTCGGAGCAGAACAGTATGACGTTAAACCGCGTTTTATTTCATTTCATTTCATTTTATCAACTATGTACAAAGCTTCATAACGATATTTTGAATGATGTATGAGATATGCCCCGCGGTCAAAATAGGGACGGAAGCACCTGCGCGTATGATATTTTGGGGAGGACACCTAAGACAAACAACGAGGTTAGGCATGCGACGCTACTCCTTCTCAAACACACGCTTGAGATCGGAACCACGCCAGTTGACTCAATGACAGAACATATGATCTAACGCGAGAACATTAGATTCCCCCACCCCACCCCACAGTTTGTAGTGGAGGAAAGCCCTAAAAACCTAAACATCAATATCACACTGTAAACTTCCCTTACGACGACATCCGGTCAATCTGATTAAAACACAGATCCAATTTCGTTTCGTTTTTATAGTTCAAAATTTCGATTTTACTTGTCTTTACAACACTTGGATCTGGAAGCGTTGTTATTTAACTCGTGTTCTGCTTGAAATGAAGGGTTAGCCATTGTAGGCCATCGAAAGTATAAAAAACGAAACGAAATATAGATCTATATTTTAATTTGATTGACATCCGGTATTCTTCGCGTTAAAGATGAGCCCATCAACAATATTATTCAAATTGAATTTCAGATGATTGACAATAAGATACGCTTTATCATGTTTTTTAATGGGTAGTTAAAATTCCTGAAATTCATCACAAAGTACTTGTTACAATGGAAGTTCTACAAAAAGGAGACGAATTTCTTTAATTATACAGTCTGAGAGAGTTTCCTATCAATATAAATAAAAAGTTGAATAGTTACGTCAATATTTGAATAGTTTAGTTTGTCGGGGAAATAGGACAGATTACCTACACCCATCAATGTTATATTGTTTAAAATAGTGTTTATTTTCTGGGTGGATTTAGTAATACATTTAAGACATTAAAAAGAAATTGCATGATGTAGAAGTAACATAGAATTATTTTAAGAATTTATAAGTTTAAAAATAATATAGACACTTGTAACAAGTATTGTGCTATTATCAGACCAGGTTTAACTAGACGGCCGACTTTATCTTTGGGCTACTCAATTCGACATTTCGCACATTTCATCAAGAATGAAATGAAATTGGGTTTAACGTCCGGCTGCTCTGCTCCGATTGGGGTAATGAAGACGGGCGGGTATACACCATACAGTGTGCTACGAGAGAAATTTTGCTCGGGCAGCATCACTATTGCCCACTCTTATATCGAATTCCAACTGTCAAGGGATCTTTAACGTGCACGCCAATGTATACCCGGGACCTCAGTTTTACGTCTCATCCGAATGACTAGACAGCAAACATTGTTAGGCCCTCCGTCCTGCCCCACTGAAAAGGTGAAACCGCGTCAGAAAATCCCGATGAACTTTCTCGGCCAATGCAGGGATCGAACACGTGAGTCGGCGTCTTACATCAAGAATGGGAGAGAGAGAAATGGGGTTTAACGTCCACTCGACACAAACTAGGTCATTTTGGGACTAACATATGGTTCAATTTTATTTCAATAATTCACTTGCGCGTAGGGTATTTAGCAGTGGGAGGAAACCGGAGGATCCGGAGAAAACCCACGAGGTTGGACAGGCGACCCTACTTCTTGTCACGTATCAAGAATGAAACTGTGCTCTTGATATTGTACTACAACAAAACTTGATCATAATACGCATTTATTATCAATATTTCCTATTTCGCCACGCTCGACTGTCTATCTTCTTTAAACATGTACAACTACATTACGCTCCGCCACCCTTCGCCACCCATCCAATCAACACCAGCACCACCGCCACTCAACCCCACGTTTCCCACAATAGTTTAAGGTTGTATGTTAATGCATATATCATATATAATTACATCACTAAATCACATTATCTATATCTGATGTGTAAGATAAATCCTATCAAATCCCCTGACTAAAATGTATTGCGTTAGCCATTGAGAGTGAGTGATTAAGGCATCGGCTCACTGACGAGGATGATCGGGGTTCGATCCCGGTGTTGACCGAGAAAGCTTGGTCTCCTCTTGACAGTATCCATTCGTTCGGGTGGGAAGAAAACCCGAGGTTAGACACGGAGACTCAGTGATTAAGTCATCGGCTCACTAACCACTACCAGGAGGATCGGGGTTCTGACCGAGAAAGTAACTCTGGATATTCCAGCTTGGTCTCCTCTTGCCAATGTCCATTCGTTCGGGTGGGAAGAATACCCGAGGTTCCCAGTACACGTTGGCGCGCACATAAAGAGCTCTTGTCAGTTGGAATTCGAATTACCGTCGCTGTCTGGGCAAAATTTTCCAAATAACCACGCCCATCTTGATCAGCTCTTTTGGTGTCAGAACAGTTTATATGTGTATATCATGCAATTTTAACGAACCATTTGGTAATGTTTTTTTTTATATTTTCAAACATTTCAAACGTTTTTGTCAAAATCGACTTAAGACATAACATATAGAAAGTGTGAATTGGAATCATAAAATCTAAAATCCATTAAATCCAATCACATTATATACTACCGTAGAGCTGGAAATTATAAAATTTTGTCTGGAAAAATTCAGAATTGTAAATGTGCCAATCAGTCAGTAGTCATTTGCATTGTTCTGAAAGACTTAATTAATATGTTGTGAACGTGTGTGGGAGATAGCAGACATGGGCCTGGCATAGATTAACAAGATTGCTAGAACAAATTTAAAAGGAGATGGATTTATAAAGACGTCGCCATGTTTTTCACAGCTTAGCCCAATTAATTTTAAAAATATATAGTTACTTGCGAGCCCGATTTTCAGGTTTACAGTTCAAACACCATTTAACTTAAAATTAACTGGTGAGTTCGGTTAACGGTTCCAAATTAACTTCAAAATTATTGAAGGGTCATGTTTATAATTCACCAAAAATTACCGTAGAGTTAAGTTTACGGTTTAGGTTTACGGTTAACAAATAATACTGTAGACTCGGATTTACAGTTCAGAATTTAACTTAAATTATAAGATAACATCTCAGAATTGAATAATAACTTACTGGTAATTGATGGTTGATTTTGTTGTTTGTTTGAACAATCATCATAAGGGCCATTTTCTAAAACACAGTTACTGATTTGTTTGGAGAAAACCTTTCCTGGTCCGCATGATACATCCCATTTAAACGTCATCAGTTGGATAGAAAACTTGGTACAATCTGTAGGATTTGGCAAAAACTGGAACCGTGTGTTAGTAGCTCCCTGCACGGCTAAAACAGAGCATAACAGCAAAATACAAGCTATACTCCACATAATGTTACGATTTGTAGATTCCCGCCTTGTGCGAGCTCTGTTTCGTGAAACTAAATGTCTTCGTTTCGTTTCCCTTCTTTAAATAAAACGTCACTGATCCAAGTTTTTATATTGAGCACTGATGTAACGCCCTCTATTGTTTGAAGATGTAATACGTCATGTCCGCCTGTAGATACTCCCGCAGATAATTAATTCATTGTCCAGACGTGAGAATTATATAAATCAACAAAAAAACTACTTATTGGGTAAAGAAATGGTGGGTCTCGTTTATTTTAGGATTCGGATGAAATTGGGTGTAGATTGTGAACAAGAGAAAAAAACCATTGAACAAGGTTAAATTCGAGAGAAAATTAAAATAATCGTGAGAGGTTGGGTTTTAATTGAAGGAAACTTAAAACCTTTCAACGCATGTGTGAGTATAGAGGAACAAAAGGCATCTTGTAGCCCTACTGAAATGAAACGAAATGGAGTTTAACGTCCTACTGTTCTGCTCCTACTGAGCTAATGAAGACGGGCATACACCACACAGTGTGCCATGAGGACAATTTTGCCCGGACCGCTGCACTACAGCCTGTTCTTAAATCGAATTTCAACTGCTAAGGGATCTTTTACATGCACGCCTATGTGTACGCGGGATTTGGTGTTTTCTCACACCGGGACGACTAAAGAGCTGTCTTTGTCGGGCCTCCATCCGACACCACTGACAGGATGAAATTTCTCGGCCAACACCGAGATCGAACCCGCGACCTCCAGGCTAGCGAGCTAGCGTCTTACTCATTTAGCCAGTTTTCCCAGAGATAAACAAAGGGTAAACTTGTCTCTGGAATCGAGATTGGGTACCGGAGTGATTCATGGGTTTCGACCAGTCGTCTGGGTGTTATAAATGAAATACGGTTTAATGCCCTACTGCCCTGCTCCGACTGGGCTATTGAAGAGTGTCGGATGTTATAAAAATCATAGCTACGCCCCATTTACATTGACGTGCACGTAAAAGAAACCACGACTGTTGCAAAACTGCATGGCGTTTGTCCGTCTTAATTATCCCCGCCCCCGGAGGCCTGGTACGTGACAGGGAGTAGGGTCGCCTGCCGAACATCATCATGGGTTTTTCCGCCCCCACCCACCGCTAAAGATCCTTGCTTACAGGTGAATTATTGAAATAAAATTGTAAAATCCATCCCGATTGCTACATAAAAATAGGACGTTAAACCCCATTATTTCATTTCCTTGCTGGTCAGATATTTTCCGTGTTGAGTTGTTGTGGGTTATATGATGACAAACTATATTATTTTATTTTTCAACTTCAGACATCGTCAGTACAACCATACCTCTAACTGTTTAAACATTTTCCTTTACAAGAAGGATGAATAAAATAATAAATATTGATCTGGCTTATCCGGTCACCTTGATATAATAACAACGATAAATGGCAAGTTTGTCAGGGCGTTGTGGATTTTTAATGTTATGACTCTTGTCTTATAGATCTACATCTTTTTTATTCTGTTGAGCCGTGGTACCATTCTGCATATAGAGATCCATCTACTTCTGTTATTATGGGCAATTCGTGGCTAAGTGGGTAAGATGTTGGCTCGCTAGCCTGGAGGTCGGGTGTTCGATCCCTGCATTGGCCGAGAAAGTTAATACCGATTTTCCGGCGTGGTTTCTCCTTGTCAGTGATGCAGGACGGAGGGCCTGACAAGGACAGCTGTTTAGTCGTTCGGATGGGACGAAAAACCGAGGTCCCGTGTACTCATTGGCGTGCACGTAAAAGATCCCTTGGCAGTTGGAATTCGATATATGAGTAGGCCGTAGCGCCGCTGCCCGGGCAAAATTTCCCTCATAGCACACTGTATGGCGTATACCCGTCTTCATTAGCCCAGGCTAGGAGCAGAACAGTAGGACGTTAAACCCCATTTCATTTGATTTCATTTCCTTCATTTTATGGGCAATTCTTAATTTTAAGGAATTTTTGCTCATAAGATGTTTTATGCATTGGTGTTTCTTCTGAACTTGGATTGCTTCAAACTTTAAAATTGTCATTAAAATGTTCGCATGTTACTAATGGATGATATATTTCACCCATATCTTTATCTTTTACAATTTCAGGGATTTTCTAAAACTTGATGGGGTTCTGTAATACTTAACATCGAGATTCAATATAGCTTACTTAACACTATGGAGAAGTCAAACGTTCTTGCAAATATATACTCAAATTTACTTAGGACTAGAGCATAGTCAATCTCACTTAGCACAAGGTAATAGCCAAACTAACATAGTACCAGGGCATAGCCAAACTAACTTAGCAACAGGTAAACCAACTTAGCACCAAGTCATAGCCAAGCTAAGACAGCAGCAAGGGATAGCCAAACAAACCCAGTCCAAAGGAATATCTAATCTAACTTAGCACCAGGGCATAGCAAAACTGACACAGCGCCAAGGAATAGCCGAACTAACACAGCACCAATGAACAGTCAGAATAACACAGCACCAAGGAAAGCCAAACTAACATAGTACCAAGGGCGGGAGGAACAGTCAAACTAAAACACAGCACCAAGGGGCAGCCAAACTAACACAAAACCAAGGGACAGCCAAGCTAATATAGTACCAAGGGCGGGAGGAACAGTCAACTAAGGACAGCACCAAGCCATAGTAAAGCTAACTTAGCGCCTAGACATAGCCAAACTAAGGCAACACCGAGGAACAACCAAACTCGCACAGCACCCAAAGGACAACCAAACTAGCACTGCATCAATGGGCAGCCAAACGCACACAGCATCCAAGGGACAACTACACTAACATAGCAACCAAGAGACAACCAAACTAACAGAGCACTCAAGGGGCAGCCAAACGCACACAGCATCCAAGGGACAGCCAAACGAACACAGCACCAAGGGACGGTCAAACCAACACAGCAAAGCCAAACCAACTTGGCACAAAAAGATAACCTTACTTAATTAGCACCGAGGCATATGCAAGGTACCTCAGCACCATTTTCAGTATCACTCATCTCAACCGTAATTTCGTTTTGAAACGGTTTTATGGGTAATACTTTTCTCAAGAGAAATGAGGGAAACGCCTTCATTATTATGTCTTTTTTTCCAGATTTTAATTAAACCGAAGAAACGTGTTGGATATAGTAGCTACTCCTTTATAGACTATTAACTCCACGCTTCTTAACCCCAGTTATACATAAAGATGTTTCATTTAAACGTTATTAGATAAACTTATTCATTCGTCAATCCCCTTCAATAAAACCACAAATATTCCCAGACGAACGGATAGCTTTTATTCCTAATCGTAACGTACTCGGTACGATTTGTAGACTTTTCATATTTCTATAACCTCTGCAACATTGAACGTGTTTAAGTTGTACCATTTACAATGTTTGTTTTCCGGTTTTTGAGTAGGTAGTTGTTCACATATAGCTCCCAGATTTCAGCCTGTGGTAATATATTTCAGCAAACAAAACATAGGTTATTAGTCATTTCCATTTACCCTTTATATTGTACATTATGGCTTTTCTACTATTTATTTAGGATTTTTTTTCTGGCAGTTTCTCAAAGGAGTGCATTGATATGAACAATAGGCATCATCCCCGGCACGCACACCAGTTCTAGTCGGTTTAACATCGTATAATAAGTGGCCTACACGGTTTGAACAATTTTTAAATAATAAAAAGACTGGTGTGTTTGCGGGTGGTTGATGTTTTATTAAATGGGTGTTTACACTTAGGTATTAAATATTGATAATATTAAACTTCCAATCCGTGCGTCATTCAGATAAAATTGTTTTGACTAATTATGCTGGTGGAGTGTTGAAATGAAGTTTAGTTAAAACCAAATTAGGATTAGGGGAACGATTCTTATTGCGAGTAGGGCCTTGATACCTGAAAGAGAAATTATATTTGTTTTTATGCTCTTCTGTAACGATTATCAGCCCCGGTGGATCTGTGGGTCTCAGATTCAATCACGTTCTTCGTGATTTTCGAGTTATTTGCCCTTGTCAGGGTGTAGGAAATGTGAAATGAAATGAAATGGGGTTTAACTTCCTACTGTTCTGCTCCGACTGGGCTAAAGAAGACGGGCAGACGCCATACAGTGTGCTAAAAGGGCAATTTTGCCCGGACAGCGGCACTGCGGTCTACTCTTATATCATATTTCAACTGACAATGGTTCTTTTACGCCCACGCCAATGTGTACATGGGACCTTGGTTTTGTGCCCCATTCGAACGATTATACGTTGTCCCTTACCAAGCCCTCTGTCCTGCCTCACTGACAATGGTTCTTTTACATCCACGCCAATGTGTACATGCAACCTTGGTTTTGTGTCCCATCCGAACGACTATGCCTTGCCAAGCCCTCTGTCCTGTCTCACTGACACGGGACCTCCAGTTTAGCAAGCCAACGTCTTACTCGCTGAGCCATAATGGCGGTAAAGGTAAATGTTTTGATTTCAAAATTATTTCTGTTTAAAAAGAACGTAAAACTGTTTCTAGCGGTAACTTCTTGGTGTAAAGTTTTATTCAGACGATTATAATCAATTAAAAATTGAAAGATATTTTTCCTCTCCGATCAACCTTTACGTGTGAATATGTAAAGAAACTTAAATTCTAACATCACCATGTTATATTTCACGAAAGAATATAAATATATGTTTTGCTCTTAAACACACCATTATTGCAGTAAGGAAATCCTCGATAAAAATATTATTTGCTTTATAAACTACCTTGTTTGTATATATATTTTATTTATTTTATTTAAAGAAGCACCTAACCGAGAAAGTTCCAAGAGAATTTTCAAGCGTGGTTTCAGCTTGTCGGTGGTGGCACGAGAAGGCGCCTTGACTCAGGTCTGTCAGTAGAGACTCAGCTTTTGAAGTAGCTTTTTCAAATTTGGAAATGAAATGAAATGAAATGGGGTTTAACACCTTACTGTTTTCATATTTGGTTTGAAGCAGTGTGGTCATGAGAGAATGGTCCAGAACTATTCCCCCTCTTCCGAAAACCTCGTGAACGCGATAGAGGCTATAGCTTTTAACAAATCTTTTTCAAATTTGGACTAACCCCATCGATTATCACCATTCAATGT